TCATGCGCACTGCATTTTAATCCTGGCAATTCATCGTAATGACTTTGAAAAATCAAGCGATCGTTTAGCTATGACAAATTACCTTATTCTTGCTAATTTTTGCGTGTACTTAATTTCGAGAAAATTTGGGAGCCGAATCTCGCAAGTATTAATTTTCGAGATTGCAAGAAAAAATTTGAGTATAAAACGTGCAATAATCAGCGGAATTATTTTCGCGAAATCTTTTTTTTCGCGCGCGTTAAATTTCGCTGTTTTTTTTTATCGCGAAAGTTGGTAAGAATAAGGTAGATATTATTATCAATTATCAATATGAATACAATGGGCAATGAATACAATGGTATAAACAAGCACTTAGCAAAAATATAGAAATCAAAAGTACGACATGAAAACTAACGGATTTCTGGCTCGAATCCAAAATTATTAAATTAAATATGACATTTCAAAAAATAATCTACTTCCTTTTGAATGACATGCATTTATTCCGGACGTAGACAAAATGTACGGTGGGTGAAGGGAGAAAACCGTAATATTCTCCCCCCCAAAAAACATTCCTTTCTCGAGACTACCCTCTCCCTTCTTCAAAAGCATATGGATCAATTAAAAGAGAGGCACCCAAAGACAATCTGTCTACGCCCGTGGTATAGACCAAATTCAARACTCGCACCGATGTGAGGCTTAAGTTGTGAACAAAGGGATCTGGCGTGACTCAAAGTAATCTGGCGTGATTTAAAAGTCACGAATCACGCCAGATTCCTTTGTTCACAACTTAAAGCCTCACATCGGTCAGGTTTTGAATTTGGTTTATAGCAGAGCTGATAGTCGTACGACTGTGAAAAGAKTTCCAGTCAGACGCGGTATGTGTGCACAACCATAACTATGTGTCATGTGCAGCCATGACTACGTGCCCTGTGTAGCCATGACTACGTGTCATGCGTAGCCATGACTACATGTCAAGTGTAGCCATGATTACTGTTTGATACAACGTTATGTATGTTACCATGAAGATTTCTTATGTTGAGCTATACTATTTGTAACTATTGTCATGGGCAACAATATGACGATGTGTCTTCACAAGATCAGAGGCTGAGCAGTATTATAATTAGTTAGCGCTGATGACGTCATTGCTGGGATGGCCATCTCCATGACTACGCAGCATAGTTTTCTCTCACGTAATTTTTCACAATCAAACGACACCTCTTAAGAATAAGCCCAACGATACTGAGTCCTAAAAATGTGAAATTAATTTGGCTGGCATTTATAATACTTTGAACGTTATAGAACATTATTTAACTTACGATTTTGTAACGGGTATCTCGCAGGTCGTCCCGCTCCTTAGAAGGGCCTAGTAACTAAGTAGGATTCCTAATAACTAATTCAATTTCATAACATTACTTGCRCTTCTGGGTCCCTTAAGTCCTCACACAGACATCCAGATAAGTGCCCCAGTCATGAAAAGGAACCATATAGAWGCTGATAGGCGAGTACCACGACCACCCCGGGCTCCTTTGCCAACGGTGTTGTTTGATGTCAGGATGCTGTTTGAGCCCTCGATGCCAGGGTAGTGCGGTGTTTCATGGCATTTACTGTTGTCAATGTCATCATCACAACACGTGATTTTACATTCTTGGACTTCTCCGTCATGTCGGAATGTATGGCGACAAACCTGAGGTGCTAGATAAAAAAAGAAACGTAACAAAGAATTAAATAATTACTCGATGAAAATGTCCGCTGTATGTCTGGACTGCAGGCTCATCAATAAAACTCAGCCCAGTTTTAAGGTCTCTGTTTCTCAGGCTAGCATCGATTTCGAAATGAAATAATACTCAAGGGAATAACACATGCTGGGTCCATTTTATAATCAGAGAATGAAATAATACTCAAGGGAATGACACATGCTGGGTCCATTTTATAATCAGAGAATATAATAATACTCAAGGGAATGACCCATGCTGGGTCCATTTTATAATCAGAGAATATAATAATACTCAAGGGAATGACCCATGCTGGGTCCATTTTATAATCGGAGAATATAATAATACTCAATGGAATGACCCATGCTGGGTCCATTTTATAATCAGAGAATATAATAATACTCAAGGGAATGACACGTGAACTTTGCGCTAAATAAAGGTTTTCATTACTAGAATTCGTAATTTTTGCTTTTCCCACAATACTTTCCTCTTAAAATAAGCTAAGATACATTAATTACAACATATTTTGATCAGTTTTCAGCATAATATCTTCTGATTACCACCCTCCCCCCCCTCCCCCACATACACACACACACAAAAACCGCAATGCAATATGGGAAAGTTAAATTAGTGAATGACAAAACACGTGACTTACTTGAACGGCAGTCCTCTTTATGCCCACAATACCTTGCGAACCCCGGGTTAACAACGTACTTAGCTTTGCCATTGATGGATTCCAGGATTCGAATCTTCATCTCGTACTTCAGACACGTGTCGTATTGTYCATGACAGGTTATCTTCTTCAGACTGTACTGACTCTCGCATTCCTCGTCCGATTCGTAAGAGAAACAAGAATAGCAATCCAAAGATGAAACTGTATGTGAAAAAAGTTAAACTGGGTTACCTGTGGTATTTTTGCAGGTCACTGTTTCTCGAGCATGCGCAGACGCTTCTGACTGCGTCTGCAAGGGTTCACCATACAAGTCCCTTTCACAGTTCCCTGCGTCATCTCGAAAAGTAGTCGTGCCTTTACATCGAAGCGAAACGAACGGTGAGCTTGCAATGGTAGAGACCTTTTTTAACACCTTGGACAATTATTCAYATGTCTCTATCACTGTAAGCTCACCGTTCGTCTCGCTTCGATGCAAAGGCACAGCTACCTTTRAAGATGGTACATGGAAMTGTGAACTGAATTATTTATAGTTTCGCTCTCCCGTAGTTAYCGTTGCTATGATCCATATTAATGTTTGTGGTCTAAAAAAATAACAAACTACACAAATATTTCATTCTCTTATCATCCTTTCCGCCGACGACAAAATAGAGCTCAGCATTTTGAGCAAATCTGACAGTTTGTATGGACAATAGTTTGATAAGTATGATTGGATCTAAAAAATTCTGGTCTGTCCCCCACCCCCACCCGGGGCAGGTATTATTCAATTTACTATAGTGCATTAGATTTAATCCTTTGATAAGCACTCAGAGACCACTCTCCCTATTAGGATACGGTTCAGCTCTTTTTCCCACAGTTATCGAGTACAATCTAAATAAAGTTGTTTTGACGTTAAGAGAGACACTTCAAAAAATTTAATTCTCGAGCCACTTAACTAACTTACGAGAGAGAGTCAGTCAAAAAAAAGCAAAGAGAAAATGCCTTTGCACAATTTAGAAAGATAACGGACAGCTTTTCTTTATCAATTTTAGATGACAAAGCTGCACAATAAACGCCATGAAAGGGTAAATAAAGGCAATGCTAACATATAATTATTATCATTCGATCTTCTTAAAAAATCTTTTTTGAAACTTTTTCATTGAATCGAGAGATAGAGACTCTGTGAAGTTGGTTTTTTCTATTATCAGAGTTTTGGGAAATTAAAAAGGCCTGGATTCCTATAGACATCGTTCCAGAAGTTGAGCAAGCAAATAATATCTACAGTTATTGTTTACTAATAGTTGTGAAGGCATGATTTGAATTCCACGATGACATTTTAATCTTTCGGCTTCAAACCATAATTTCTAGTTAACCATTTAAAGGAATTTAATAAATTTTTCATTATAAGAAAAGTTCTAAGACTTTCTAAAAGGCGCGTTTTCTACGCATAATCATCAGTCGTGTTGTTTATATAACACCAAACATTCAGCTCGAGAAGTCAAAATATACTATAATTAAACTTTGATGTGGACGCCATTTTGATTTCCTGAGAAACTTTGTCTATATTTCAACTCATATCGTGTTAATTTTTTTTCAGAAGTGATTACAACTTGCATTCAAAACATCCTTAAAGAAGTATTGAATGATAATTTTGCGATAATTTTACAGTGCATGGTTTTATCGGTCAAGAGGTCTATATATACCTACGGGCTAATATACTTAATGAAGAAGGAAACCAATCAAATGTTAAAAGACTCTTAATAATGAAACCCAGAAAAGTGAAGAAACTTCTTTGAAATAAAAACTTAAAATCAGCATCAACTAACTCGCACAAAAAAACTTTTGTCTATTGTATTCTTCTTYGTAGTCAAAAGGATAAAGTATTTTAGATTCTACCAAATTCAWTGTTAAATCTTTTTAAAAACGAACTCTCGTCGGCTTCAGTTTAATAAAAAATCGAATGAAAAAAATTGAAAATTTAAACTATACTCTCATTAGATTCAAGTAAGCATTTAACTTCAATATGGCTTRCCAAAGTAAAACAAAACTACTACGATTTGAAACGGTTAAGAATTTACATAATTGTACAAATTTGTACTCACTCATTTTYGTACTAACTTGCTATTTCAAATATTTGACAAATAGAAATTGTCCTAAATTGACGCTCATGCACTGACTTATATCGCGCTGTAGAGAAATTCTAACGTTAGATATTTTGGAAACTCGAGATGAATAATTTCTTTACAAGCTGAAAGAGCSATTCCTTGGAGCTGGAGTGCAAATTTTAGCTCTATTATACCCACAAGGTTTCTAGAATAACTTTTRTATGTGGTAAAAATTGATAAACTAATAAAGTGTATTGCAAGGGAACGCTTAAAGTTAGGTCGATCGATTTTTAGAAACTTACCCATTGGTAAACAGACCCCTAACAGAGCAACGATTACAGTAACGAAACAAACGTAAGCCATTTTGAAGTCCAAGTTTTGCATCCAAGTTACTCTCCTTGATTAAATTTCAAGATTTTGGCAGGTATCCTCGATCGGACAGGTAAATTTGGCCAGAAAAATCTGATTACCATGCAGTCGCTAAACCAATATTAGCACATTGATAGCTCGTGACGTCATTCACCTCATTATAAAGCCTGAAGTGAAAACTTTGAATTATATTTATCCAATATTTCTGAACTAAATAGGGATTTCAGAGATATAAAATTTTGCATTTTTCATACGCGTATATTCGAAAATATTTTAGCMTTTTCAGAGGTCTTGTAGAAAAAATGTTTGATATATTTTAGCTGAAACTGTTCGTAGAACAATAGTTTTGAATAAACTGATCTGACACGGTTCAGGGATTTCCTATAGACCCTTCCTTTGTTTATTTGTCGAAACGAATAATCTAGTCTATACTGGCTTTAGCGTCAAAACAAACTTAACTAGTCYTCGAAATCAAGAAAATGAAACTAGGTTATTCCAGGCCTCATTCGCCAGATTTCAAACATTTTTGCAGCATTTTCTCGTTTGTTTTCTTAACATTTTCTTTAGTTTTTCAGCGATAGAGAGCGGTGAATAATAAAATATTTCTGAATGCAAAACAAAACTTATAGGTGGACCCCCAAAGGCTTGCTTTTATGTAGAAATATCATTGAGGGGAAACAGTCACGGAATTCGAAACTTTGTCACGCAAAAAGCGAGCACAATTTTTGGCGGTAAAATAAATGTTCAAAAAAAGTAAAGACGAAGTGATTTTGTTGTCACTGGTTACTGAATGACTTCCATTCGCATCATGACTGTCAAAAAGCTTCGTATCCAGTTTCGACCAGTTATTGTTGGTATTTATATTTAATATTTATCTATATATCTTTTTATAAAATCTAGGATAACTTGTAAATATAAACAATATGATTTGTTATATTCATTTTTATTTAAAGTGTGAGCAGCAGTAAGGGGGACTCGCGAATCGCCGGCATTGCCAAAAATCACAAATCGAAAAACACCAGGGGGGGGTGGGTTTTTTGGAGCAGTGACGAGGCCCTACAGGGGGTCTTGCGCGATCGGGTGGCAGCGCGAAAAGTCCCTTACTGCTGCTCTGTTGGGTACTGC